GGGGGGGGTGAAGGAAATGGATCGTTGAGGGAGATGAAGCAGTACCTCTGCAGTTTTTTAGCTAGGGTGTCTGTATTGCACGCCTCTACCTTAGCGCTGCATCAGTGCTGATGGTTGTTGTGCGGGGGAGGGGGCAGTTCGGTAGGCAGGGCACTCAGTTCTGTTGACAGGGCGGGGCGCCCCCCTCGATAATGGTACGGGAAACACAGGGGAGCCTGTGTCTGAAAGGAAGCCTAGCAACCATGGACTGTAGATAGTGGGATATTCAAAGTCTTATCAAGTTGTCATTAAGGAACATTATTCTGAATTGTTCAATTATTGTTCAATACTGTTTTATGAAAGCAGTGAACCTCTGTCCATCGCCTGAGCTTCTCTAAATGTGTTCTTATACCCAGTCCTCTTGCTGATCTGTTTACAATTAACCAGATTAGTTACAAAACTCCTCCAGCTCTTAGTCATACCACTTACTTTAACAGACTTTGTTTCCCCTGCTCAAACTTTGAGTTGAATCTTGAGCTAAACGGGTTTAAGGTAAATGATTGCATTTTATTTAATTTGCATTTACACAATGTCCCAACTGTTTTGAATTTGGGGTTGTATTTTCTGGGTTTAAATGCAGACAATCTAAATTGGAAACAATTTCATCATTTATCTGCCTTTTTTTTTTTTCAAGCAGGACTAATGTACCCAAGTATATTTGGTAATTGTAGGTTAACTATACTGTATGTTGGAAGCTTTGGTGTCTAACTAGGTGCACTGTCCCCTCTGCAGCTCTACAAGCGCTTCAATATTCCTGGTAGTCCTCCAGAATCTATGGGAAAAGGCAGAGATTGGAATGTGGACCTTATCCCAAAGTTCCTTATGGCAAATGGTAATCCCTTATATATTATTAAATCCTATTAAAGTTTTCACTTAAATCTGTTGTCTAGAAGACCTGAAGACTTGATATCTGCAAAAATAATGACGAATGTCTTAATTTAAATTCCTTTAGCCTAGCGATGTCATAGATGTTTGACTTTTTATTTCATTTTGATTTTGTTCTTCTGAAGCAGCAGGAATTACAAGTAGAACTGAAGTACAGCTAAACGATGAGGATACAATCTCATTTCTTTTTTGTGTGCAGTAAAATATCAGCATTTGTTTGTGGAAGTCATGCTGTATGTCCATGTCTGTTTTAGGTCAGCTGGTTCGCATGCTGCTGATCACACAGGTCACTCGCTACTTGGATTTCAAAGTGGTTGAAGGCAGTTTTGTGTACAAGGGGGGCAAAATCTATAAAGTCCCCTCCACTGAGACCGAGGCTCTGGCTTCTAGTAAGTGGAGCAAATGTACTAAACAGTTTGTCAAATGTATTCTTTCTAACGTGTAGTGTGTTATTTATTTTTACATTTTTAAAGGCCTTATGGGGCTGTTTGAGAAACGACGCTTCAGAAAGTTTTTGTGCTATATTGCCAACTTTGATGAGAACAACCCAAAGACCATGGAAGGTGTTGATCCTAAAACTACAAAAATGAGGGACATTTACCAGAAGTTCAGCCTGGGACAGGAAGTCATAGACTTTACCGGCCATTCTCTGGCACTCTACCGCACAGACGAGTCAGTGGACTTTATTTTAATACTACCTTCTGTAATGACTTGTGTGCACACTACAAGTGATAAAAGTACTATTGTGATGCTATACCTATATGTAGATGCTAAAACGTTTTTAATTTCTCTTCTCTTAGTTACCTGGATCAACCCTGCATCCATGCAATAAATAAGATAAAGCTTTACAGTGAGTCTCTAGCCAGATATGGCAAAAGTCCGTACCTCTATCCTCTGTATGGACTGGGAGAACTGCCACAAGGCTTTGCCAGGTACGACACGCCTCTCAAGTATCTCATATATGACATGATATATAAGTATAGATATGGCTGTGCCATTAATCCAATTATTGGTTTGGATTTTGGCTACAACCAACCATTAAAACAAAGGAATTGTTAAAAACAAATTGATTAAAAATACTTTGCCATATTACTTTATGTCAAATATAGGTGCCAACACACCCCTGATGCACCCATGTGCCACATCAAAGTCGTGCTGTTTAAAGCTTGGGACACCGCACGTCTTCAGCTACAGAATATTTGTCCAGTTTGTCTTTTTGAATCCTTTAGATTTGTCCTGGATGACCGAGTATTAACACATACCAACAACCTGTTGGATGGGATCAATACTGGAGTTTGTTTCTACTTTCAGTACTTGGCTCCTGTTCCACAACAATTCTGTACCTGAGTAGGCATGAAGAGACCTGATCAAATGTAAACACTGGATGACACGCGCATGGCAGATGATGTTGCTGCTAATGTGTAGAATCCATATTTACTTCTGTGAACACATCGAGCTGTGTGTGAGGCCACATCGTCTTCAGAGCCAAGGGCTGTCCACGTGTAGTCTGTGGTGGTCACATTTAAATTGTAATGTGAATGACTTCACAAAAAATGGTGCCTGAGCAGAACATCAGATACATTAAGACCATCTAATGTTGAGAACTTATGAGCTGTAACCATTTTGGTCAACCCTTGAAAATAATGTTATTTGAGATTTTGTGATATGTTGCAGGTTTGTTGGTGCTTGGAGACCGTTGTGAATGACTGTCTTCTACTACCACTCCAGATTTTAGCTCACTACCTGTAAAATTATCTGTTATAGCTAGTTTAGTTGTTTTACTTGTGAGGGTCTTCTTAAATTGGTCAGACTCCAAAAGTTAAACAGTTGTAGGTGTACATCAATGATTACTTTCTAAAAGTTTTGTTAAAATCCATCCAGTGATCAGATATTTTGCTCATTGTACAAACAAAACATTATTTCTCTTCACCTTTGCAGCTGGCAGTAATGACATCTGTGTTTTTGACTTGTGATTACTCTTGTGTTGAATGAGTTGTATAACAAATAAACTTCAGCTACCGTCACATTTCTCTTAGAAGACATCCGATGTGACGGAGATATTTGCTGTTAAAACACGTGTGGTTTGTATTCCAGACTGAGTGCGATCTTTGGTGGGACGTACATGTTAAACAAGCCCATAGATGAGATAGTGATGGAGAATGGGAAGGTGGTGGGCGTAAAGTCTGAGGGAGAGGTGAGCACATTTCTCTCTGTTCAGTTCTTTTTGGTGGTAAACAAGACACTCTTTATTCTTACTTACTTAAAATTTGAGAGCTTTGCTTACAAACCTGACTGATAATCTTTAACTTATGCACAGTCACCAGACATGGTGGCGGAGTTGGTAGAGCCTCGATGAGAAGGTTGCCGGATCAAATCCCGGCTGGGGGCCTTACTGGGTGGAGTTTGCATGTTCTTTCTGTGCATGTGTGGGTTTTCTCCGGGTACTCCAACATGCATGTTAGACTAATTTAGGGGTGCACCGATTACAGTTTTCTGGCTGATCACCGATTTCAAAAAGATCTGACCTGCAGATTCCGATTTTGTTTTATAATCGACTCTGTCAGGTGTTACAGTGCCTTGTGAAAGTATTCGGCCCCCTTGAACTTTTCAACCTTTCTTGCCACATTTCAGGCTTCAAACAAATAAAAAACTGAAAAGTGGGGCGTGCAATATTATTGGGCCCCCTTGTGTTAATACTTTGTAGCTCCGCCTTTTGCTGCAGTTCCAGCTGCAAGTCTCTTGGGGTTTGTCTCTATCAGTTTTGCACATGGAGAGACTGAAATTCTGCCCATTCTTTCTGCAAAACTGCTCGAGCTCAGTGAGGTTGGATGGAGAGCGTTTGTGAACAGCAGTCTTCAGCTCTTTCCACAGATTCTTGATTGGATTCAGGTCTGGACTTGACTTGGCCATTCCAACACCTGGATACGTTTATTTGTGAACCATTCCATTGTAGATTTGTCTTTATGTTTTGGATCATTGTCTTGTTGGAAGATAAATCTCCGTCCCAGTCTCAGGTCTCTTGCAGACTCAAACAGGTTTTCTTCCAGAATGGTCCTGTATTTGGCTCCATCCATCTTCCCATCAATTCTGACCATCCTCCCTGTCCCTGCTGATGAAAAGCAGGCCCAAACCATGATGCTGCCACCACCATGTTTGACAGTGGGGATGGTGTGTTCAGGGTGATGAGCTGTGTTGCTTTTACTCCAAACACATCGTTTTGCATTGTGGCCAAACAGTTTGATTTTGGTTTCATGTGACCAGAGCACCTTCTTCCACATGTTTGGTGTCTCCCAGGTGCTTGTGGCAAACTTTAAACAACACTTTTTATGGATATCTTTGAGAAATGTCTTTCTTCTTGCCACTCTTCCATAAAGACCAGATTTGTGCAGTGTACGACTGATTGTTGTCCTATGGACAGACTCTCCCACCTCAGCTGTAGATCTCTGCAGTTCATCCAGAGTGATCATGGGCCTCTTGGCTGCATCTCTGATCAGTCTTCTCCTTGTTCCAGATGAAAGTTTAGAGGGACGGCCGGGTCTTGGTAGATTTGCAGTGCTCTGATACTCCTTCCATTTCAATATGATTGCTTGCACAGTGCTCCTTGGGATGTTTAAAGCTTGGGAAATCTTTTTGTATCCAAATCCGGCTTTAAACTTCTCCACAACAGTATCTCGGACCTGCCTGGTGTGTTCCTTGGTCTTCATGATGCCCGCTGCACTTTGAACAGAACCCTGAGACTATCACAGAGCAGGTGCATTTATACGGAGACTTGATTACACACAGGTGGATTCTATTTATCATCATCAGTCATTTGGGACAACATTGGATCATTCATAGATCCTCACTGAACTTCTGGAGTGAGTTTGCTGCACTGAAAGTAAAGGGGCCCAATAATATTGCACGCCCCACTTTTCAGTTTTTTATTCGTTAAAAAAGTTTGACACATCCAATAAATTTCATTCCACTTCACGATTGTGTCCCACTTGTTGTTGATTCTTCACAAAAAATTAAAATTTTATATCTTTAAGTTTGAAGCCTGAAATGTGGCAAAAGGTTGAAAAGTTCAAGGGGCCCAATACTTTCACAAGGCACTGTATAACGTCACAATGCACCTTCAATGTTCCAATATTATTTTATTGAAAAACAGACCCTTGAACAACATCCTAGAAACAATACAAACTTGTTTTAACTGGCCATGAGGTAGAGCTCTGAAATATAAATGAAGTTCAAACAATTGTTGTTAAAACAAAAAAAAAAAAGGTAAAATCAGTTTCTCATGCAAGTATCGGATGATTTCCCAAAATTAAGGAAATCGGGGCCGATTTATCGGTGCACCCGTAGTCTTATTGGTAACTCTAAATTGTCCCTAGGTGAGAGAGAGTGAATGGTTGTTCGTCTTGTTTGTCTCTGTGTCCAAATGTCCCCCCGCCTCTCACACACTGGCTGCTGGATATGGGCACCAGTGACACCTGTGACCTGAGCGGGTAAAGATAATGGATGATGATCATTGCTCACTGGAGTCGTTGTTGGAATGCACTGAATGAAAAGTGGCTGCACAGTCAATTGCACCACCATATGTTCAGTTACAGTCATTGGAAACTGAGATAATTAATGTTATTAACTTATTTTTATATATGAACGTTTCTGTTCTGTGCCTTTAGACGACTTCTGTTGTGACTTGGAGCTAAAGAAATGAATTGAATAAGAAGGTCCACCCTCTTGGGTTTACACATCAATACATGTTGCACTGGTTTTTTAACATGTTCTAAAATCATTCAGTCTCATGTCAAGTATACAAACACAACACAGTTGCCACCATGTCATTATTAAATCGTACCTGACCTGGTTATTACAGGACTCTTACCATGTCTGCATCCAAAACTTCAAGAAGTGAACAAGAATGGGTTTATTTTTCTCCTTTGACTTTTATTTTCTGAGTTCAAATGCTGTATTTTCCCACAACCACCTTGTACCACACTCCTTTAAATAACATCTGTTAATTCCACGATTGTTTCATTAACTCAGACTGCGAGGTGCAAACAGCTGATCTGCGACCCAAGTTATTTTATGGAACGTGCAGAAAAAGTGGGCCAGGTGATCAGAGCCATCTGCATCATGAATCATCCCATTGCCAACACTGGGGACGTGAACTCCTGCCAAATCATCATCCCTCAGAACCAGGTCAACAGGAAGCATGGTGAGTGCACATGTTAAGCAAAATAAGTTCAGTTAAACAAAACTTTGAGAAACGACCCGCCTGCTTCTGTTTGGAACAGACGTGTCACTAAACTCAGCCAAGTTTTAGTTCTGGCCTCATGAGCTGAGCAAACATTCTCAAAGTGTACCAACATCTTCATGTTTAGTAAGAACATAATTGTTCTTCCACTGTCCACATGAAAACATGAACTTATCTGTTCTGTGTGTTCAGACATCTACGTTTGCATGATCTCCTCTGCTCACAACGTGGCAGCAAAAGGTAAATACGTTGCAATCGCCAGCACCACAGTGGAGACGAATGACCCCGAGAAAGAGATCAAGCCAGCGCTGGACCTACTGGAGCCCATTGAGCAGAAGTTTGTCAGCATTAGCGACCAGTACAAACCTACCGACTCGGGCACTGAAAGCCAGGTGCGTTTATTCAGTAGAATAAGAGAAAACGTTGTTTATTTGTCATATGCAGGTTCACGCAAGGTCAACAATGCAATGACATGTTCAGGATAGGAGTGGGCGATATGACTCAAATATAATATTGTGATATTTCAGAGCATTCTGGTGATAACGACAAATTTCTTGATTAACAAAAACAACAAAAAAAAAAGAAATCAAAGTTATTCATTTGACAAAATTAACTTAATATGTTGCTTTGCAGTATTATATAAAAATAAAAAAAACAAGGGTTAATTTTCCTGAAATTATTTTATTTAGTAAAGTATTCAGTTTCCAAGTATAAAAATAAAAAGATCCTTCTGTTATTTAGATTGAAAAAGTCTGCACAAAATATAGATCAATAAATCCACCACAGAAACTAAAGTGCAGGTGAAGTTTCCCAAAATAACTGAATAAAATGAAGCTTAAAATCTGTTGAGCATAAATGTAACATGCAACAAAATATATGTTTCTTTAAATGAGCTGTAACTTCCAGAACTTGTAACAAGGTGATCTGACCCTGAAGCTTGTTGGTGTTTCAGCTTCCTCTGTTCCTGCAGGAATGATTCATTTCTCTGATGCTCTGTCTCTGATCACATGACTCTGTTCATGCTCCATGGACGGTGGAACTAAGAGACAGCTGAGCCGCGCGTTGTTTGTTTTTAGCTTTTTAGCTAGCTAGTATTGCGCGTAACTAATTAGCGTTACACCAGTACCGACAGGTGAAGGGGGGTGCGCGGCTCGGTCGTTTGGTGCACTTGGTTCTGTTAACGGGGCGGGGCACCCAGATGTGTTACATCATGAAATTAACATATCGTGATATCATTTATTTGCCCAGGCAAACTTTTTTTACCGGTATTATCGTGAACGATATGATATGGCCCAGCTGTAATTCAGGATGAGAAGAACTAATACGACTTGCTGACAAAAACCAAGAAATACTAAAGTATGCAATAAGGGTACAAAATAAAGTACCAAAAAGTGAAAAAGAAATGATAATACTTCCAAGATCCTAAAGAAAAAATAGTAAACAACAACATGGTAGAATATAACGGTGCAGCTAGGATGAATTAGTATGAACAAGTATTTTAAGGAGGGCGGCACGGTGGCTCAGCTGGTAGAGCTGCTGCCTCTCAGCGAGCAGGTCCCTGGTTCAAACCCCGGTCCAGGGGCCTTTCTGGGTGGAGTTTGCATGTTCTCTCCGTGCATGCGTGGGTTTTCTCCGGGTGCTCTGGTTTCCTCCCACAGACCAAAAACATGCATGTTAGGCTGATTGGTAACTCTGAATTGTCCCTAGGTGTGAGTGAGAGAGTGAATGGTTGTTTGTCTCGTTTGTCTCTATGTGTCCCTGTGATGGACTTGCGACCCGTCCAAGGTGTACCCCGCCCCTCACACAGTGATTGCTGGACATGGGCACCAGCGACCCCCGTGACCCAAAATGGAATAAACGGGTAAAGATAATGGATGGATGGATGAAGTATTTTAAGGTAGTAATATAAGCTTAAATTCTCATGATGTATACTGCACAGGTAGTGAGGAGCAATGAGATGAATTATGATGGCAAGTAGTGACATATACGATACAGCTGCGTAGTGTATTAACAATAAAAACATTAGTTGTCACAGATGTGGCTTGATGTTATTACCAGTTGTTCAGTGTTAATTATCAAGAGTTCAGTAATCTGACAGCTTGTGGATAACAACTGTCCTTTAGTCTTTTCGTGTGCGATGACTGACTCCTGCATCATCTGCCTGAGAGTAGTAGATGGAAGAGCCCTTGTGCTGGGTGGGTGTGGTCCTTAATGATGCTGCTTTACAGACATCGGCTGTGGTAGATGTCCTGGATGGTGTGGAGACTACTACCAGTGATGTCCTCTGCTGTTTGCACCACCCTCTGTGGTGCTTTCTGACTGGTGCAGTTCATGTACCAGCCTGTGATGCAGCCTGTCAGCAGGCTCTCAATGGTGCACCTGTAAAAGTTGGTGAAGATGCTGGTATTGGTACCAAACTTCTTCAGTCTTCTTAGGAAGTAGAGTCTTTGTTGGGCTTTCTTGACCACAGTGTCTGTTTGTAAAGTCCAGGACAAGTAGAACTTTATTGGTATAACTGCTAATTAACTAGCTGATATCGGCCTGTCAGTGTTGACGTCCCTAAATCTAGTGTCTTTAACTGTAGTAGAAGGACTTGGGTGACATTTTGAATCCTTTCTTACCTTGTAGCATGCTAAGTAGCTTCTTATTCATGTCAGCTTTGCAGGGATGGAGAGTCTGTAGCTGATGTTAAAACAGTGTTTATTTGTTCCCACATGCAGCCAGCAGGACGTGCATGCAGGTGACGGCTTGTATCATAACTGGAACTTGAAAGCACACTTCTGCTGTGCCAGAACAAAAGTAGCCCACTTCCATTAAATCTGATCATTGTAAAACTTTCTGTTTTACAGTCACATAGATCCTGTCTAATGAAACGGGGAGGAGAATTATTAAAATGAAAAGATGATCTGGAACATTTTTGTGTTTATAAGTTTGGGTTCAGCTACTATCACACCAAATTTTAGTTAATATCTGTCAAAGTGGCTGTTATAGCTTTTTTGTGTTCTAAGGCTTATTGTCTGAATAAAATCAGATCATTTAAAGTCCTTTAAGGGGGGAGCTTGTAGCAAAGTCAATGTACGACTCAGAAACCACAATAATAAAGATGCTGTTTAAATGCACTAATTTATTTTCCAGCTCATCTAAAAGCATCTTTTAATCAGGTTGGCTCCGAAGGTTATTACCTTTAAATGTTTTGTTTTCCAGCTTCAAGTTTGTTTTCATAAAAAAGAAACGCATCTTGCTTTAAACACACACAAATACTATATTAGCGCATAATAAATTTAAATAGTCCAAAAAGTATAAAATAAATGTTTGTTAAAAAACTAAAGTTTGTTTCAACGTTCTTCTGAACACGGATAACACACATGGTTGACAGCTGTCCCACAGAGCAGCGTGTTCACTCAGTGCTGACCTTTGCTCTCGCAGGTTTTCATTTCCCGCTCGTACGACGCCACGACTCACTTCGAGACCACCTGTGACGACATCAAGGACATCTACTGCAGGATGACCGGCTCAGAGTTCGACTTCGCTGAGATGGAGCGCAGAAAGCAGGACATCTTCGGGGACACGGATTAGACACAGCTGCAATACTCATAATAATTAAAGACCGTGGAAATTAATCAAATATCTTCCCACCTGTTGGCTGACCTGGTCCAAGTATAGGTCTGCTCGTTGAAATAGCTGATATTGTTGGTTAGGGTTTGGGATTGGATGATGCTTCTTTTCTTTTCAGATTGAATATTGCACTAAACCGTGTATTAGAAAGTTATATCCTACATTAACATGACTCATTGTATTAAGATGATGCATAGTCCAAAGATGCCAAATCCAGAGATGAAGCATTCTCAGTAAAATCAAAGTTAGGGGGGACGGGGTATTTTTGGGGTCAATGTTCTGCAAGATTAAAACAAACGTCAACAAATGAGACCGTTGGGTTCTGCAGGAAGGTTTGTTTCATGTCAGGTTGAGTGTTGTGGCTTGGCTTTGTCCAGTTTTTTTTTTTTTTTTAATAATGTGAGCACCGAACTTGTTCCTGGCAGCAAATACAGTGGGATTAAGTGAAATGAAGTGATTTAATGTGTGGTCTAATTTAACGTCGCACTGCCAGGACGGTGACTGTAAGCCAAGCCGTAGTGACATCTGTATTTAATGAACCACCTGAACCTGTTCTCAATAAAGTGAGCGATGCATTAGTTTGTGTATTCTGCTAAAATGTTGTAATCTAAGCATTGCCAGCTGATTTCAGATATGGTTGGCTGTAATGGTTTAAAAAGAAAAGGACCAAATGTGTACTGGAGCAGTATTGAACTGATGGAGCCTTGTCATTTTATTTCTTTTTTTAAAACAACTGTAAAGAAAAAACCTCCGGGCTCGGTGATTTCTGTACTGCTAAGTAAAAAAAAAAAAAAAAAATTATGGTGCATTTGCTTCTTTTGTAGGTACACTTTATATTTGTTTTGAAAGTCATTTACAGATCTCCATCAATGCACATTAGCACATTTTTAACTTTAAATCTGTAAAGTTGATGCGTTGGCTAAAAGGGATTAGCTGGAATATCCATTTTGAACTAGAATAATTTCCAAACGAGAGACATCCATCCATTATTTCCTTCAAGTTTCTGCTTCCACTCCACATTTAAGTTTTAAAGCTGTGGCAGCCATATTGGACTGGGTTGACTCGTCCACTTCTGTTCCAGATGTTTATAGTTTCTGTATGTTTTGCTAAAATTCGTACAGTTGTAGAGATGTATCCCCTTTTTTTAGAAGATGAAAGCACCATCCTGGTCTGCCACTCGAGGGCATTGTCCCAGTCATCCATGCAACACTGAAGACACGTCAATCATGACGGCCCCACAGCATCCAGAGCCTTCAGCATCAAAGGCCACATCTCGTCCACCAGTGGCACCAGAGCTTCGTGACCACCTCTGCCATGGTGATGGACTGGTCTTTCCTGCAGCTCTCAGATGCTGCCTCCTCTCAGGTGGACTGGACGGATTAAGGAGATCCTCTTTCCACCACTCAACAATGTCATCATTCCACGTCGGTGCTGCACCCAGTCCAAGCTCAGCCTGGGACAGGGCCACCTGTTCTCCGTCACTGAACGCTGTGCCAGAACCTCGAGGCGAGCAAAGTCCTCCACGGCCTCCCTGAAGTTCTCCCATGCTCAAGTTGTTGTACTTGTACTCAGTTCTGCACTGTACCTGTCCACTGCTTGGGGAGTTGCTGGTGTCCAGGCTGAGTTTATTCAGCATCATACTCCTGCAATAACTTTGATCATACCACCCAAGCTCATTTGAGCAGGACCGTCCTGGATTTACTCCTTCCTGTCACATAATGCTGAAGATGGGGTGGGGCACCGTCCTGCGTTTGACAACTGGCTTGACTGAGCGGAGGGGTGCAGAGGGGCTGTTTTACAGCTTCATACAGTGGGTTGGGTCTATCATAAATTAAATTACACCTCAGCTTCCCAAACCTTTGTAATTATTCTGATGGACCAAACCATTGCAACGTTACGATGATGCAAAGTGAGCTTGTAACAAAAGTGTCCTCAGCACAGAATGAAAGGGATAAACATTTTCACAGTTTAATATGTTTGTTCATTGGTTCAGACATCAACCACATACTAAACATTAAATCATCTGATTATTGAATATTGATTGATGGGCAGCACGGTGGCAGAGCTGCTGCCCCACAGCAAGCAGGACACCCTGGTTCAAATCCCTGTCCTGGGAGGAGTTTGCATGTTCTCTGTGCTGCGTGGGTTTTCTCCGGGTACTCTGGTTTCCTTCCACAGACTAAAAACATGCATGTTAGTCTGACTGGTAACTCTAAATTATCTCTAGGTGGGAGAGAATGGTTGTCTCTGTGTCCCTGTGATGGACTGGAGACATGTCCAGGGTGTCCCCCGCCTCTCCCACAGTGATGGCTGTGTGGACACCAGTGACCCTCACGACCCAGAAAGAAGAAGCTATGCATAAGAAGTGGGTAAAAATGGACGGATTTGTTAGTACACAAGGATAAATACATAGGATATTTTGTGATAACAGTATGATGCAGTCACAACAAACTCATGGTGCTCATAAAAACAATAAAAGAAACAAAATAAGAGCAGTGCAACTTTTAACTTTGTTATCAGATAAAGTTCAGCTTAAAGGGTAATTGTACGTCAGTGTTCCACCTTTCAATAAATACATATGATTTTTATGTTTTTTTAATTACCTCAGAAATTTAGTAAAATGCACATCAGATGGCTGGAAATTTCATAGTTTTATTTATTTATTTATCTAAAATTTTCAGGGGTGCATGTCCCTGGATTGCTGAAACTGTTTTGCACGCCAGACGAATATGTAAAGATCAGTATGTTAGTCACCATTTTTGTAGTTGAATAAATGGACAGTTTAATTAAAATGTTTATTTGTATTGTGCTGTTCTGTAACACTGTGTTTCTTGTGTTCTGAATCTATAAATGTTTTATATTTTTACCTATATTTATGAAGGCCTGTTCTTTGCGAGGCAGCGATTGAAAACTACAACTACCAGCATGCACTGTGAGGGTCAATGTTTGTCACGTGACTCGTGCAGTTAGCTGACCGGACGCGGCTTGTGTTCACAAAGTCGTGATAATCTAACCGCAGAGACGGAGGAGGAATGGAGATAGAACATTCTCCGTCGTATTTCTTTGGAGACATCGGTGAGTCGGTACCGAACGAGTTGACTGTTGGGTCCGTCAGAGTCCGAACCGCACCACAGGTTCGGTTCCTGAAGCGGTCAGCTCTTAAAAGGGTTGATGTGTGAGAGTTTGGGTTCGGGGACACAGAGGCTGGGAGAGCTGCTGCCTCTCAGCAAGAAGGTCCCCGGTCCGAATCCCGGCCGGGAACCTTTCCGCGCATGCGTGGGTTTTCTCCGGGTACTCCAGTTTCCTCCCACACACCAACAACATGCATGTTAGGCTGACTGGTAACTCTGAATTGTCTTTAGGTGAGAGAGTGAATAGTTTGTCTCTGTGTCCCCGTGATGGACTGGAGACCTGTCCAGGTGTCCCCGTGATGG